CTTGTGCATAGGAAGCAAGAGAATCAGGGTTCAAGGAATCCAAAAAACAAGTCGCTTCCTTGATTTTAACATGCACTATACATTTGTTAGCCCAACATCCGCATTTTCAGTATTTGAAGAGCTCCTTATTATATTGGCATTACGAGTCAAGAATTCACCATCTTTATTCCTCTGATAAAGTCCCTGTCAGCCTGGGATCCACAAAGCTGTCACTCATTTATGCATGCATGCATGCCGCAATTTCATTTTTTCCCCCTAGCTGGATGCTGCTTACATGAGGGTTAAGAACCCACTGCCCCATCCTGTGCTGTCATTAATGTTTTTTGACAAGAAAGCACTGTCCATTTTTATTTTGGTTATGTTTTGCAAATATCTATTCTAGAGGTTGCTGCTTATTTATCTGCATTCAAATTGAAATAGCCCACCTGCACCGCGCCTGCAGTCTACTGCACTCTGACTGCTCTGTCGACGTTATTGAGCTTTTGGTTAATCAGAACAGTGCTTTCCAGTTGTAAGTGATGCCTTACTACAAATGTAGCTTGATTAAAAAAGGGGGGGTTCTTTTTTCACCCCTTAATAATGTGGGAAGGAGGATGCAAACTTTGCAAAACATACCAGTTACCTTGGTACCTAGAAACTAACCGTGTATAAAAATCAAACTAGCACTGGATATATATTTTTTTGCTGCATGTCTTTGTGTGTGCAGTAGTTTATATATTTATAGTCCCATCTATGTACTTATGAACATACACCCGGACAGGAAATGGCTGTCTACAATAATGGTCAAATATGACAGCTTACAATACTGCTCATATAACATGATGGGGATTATTACCATACAATAAATGTAGTATTTTTCATACAGTGTAACTACAGTCTTAAATTTTCAAGACCACCTAAAGTGCTAAGATGCTCAATCCATGTTGATTTAAAAGGGAACTGGTTTCCTGGTTGTGGATCTCTTTGAAAGTCCAATTCACTGTCAACCTCACATGTACATTTTTAAAGTAGATTAGCTGCCATACAAACTGGACAGTGAAGCCGACTCTAAAGACCACCTACAACATGAAGCACAGTGAATTACCTCTTTAAACCCAGTTCAAGGTTCAGCCTTCAGAAAAAAGGCACATATGTTTTGCAAATTGCCAGATCAGAAGTTTAGGACTGATTTCGCTGTAAGTGCATAAACTGTCATTTTTAGCTAATGCATTTTTTGAATCACGGTCTATAATTAATTCAGGAAATCCAAAATCACTGCAACTGTGTTTCAAATTGATGCCTGTTGGATTACACGACTTCTTTCTTGTATTTAGCTAAATTGCTGGCCGTGCATAAAGACATCAAAACATCCCGTCAAATTACAACCACCCACTTACTCTCTTTTTCTCAAATTCTGTGATCACAGTCACTCCATTTACACTAAATACAGGTTTGCTGGAGGTGTAATTTTGGCATCACGTGATTTTGGGGGGATAGGAATGGCACTCGTCAATCTACTTTGATAGTAGCCCAGTTCCACTAGCCTAATGAGACAACCTACTGTTAGTTTGTTTAAAACACTCCCTGCTGTGGCAAATCTAACCTCACTCCACACAGTGGCATGAAGCTTTTCTTTCAGGCTGCTTTTGCTTTCACTTCCGTTAAGAACCACTCCATTTTTCAGCATTGTTTCTCTTTAGAAATCCCATCTTGTTAACATTGCCAATACAATTTCCTTTCATTTCAAAGCGCTCCAGTATAATTTGACTTCCCCTGCCTCGACCACAAACATTTGTGACTCTAATCCAATTCTCAGCTCCATTAAATTCTCTCACCCTTTTCATTGTAAAAACTGGCATCTTAACAGAGGGTTCAGCTCCCCAACCGGCCCCCTTAGTAGAAAAAGGGCCATGCACAGAATACCAGCTGATAAAGGCAAAGGCAGCCGATTCCCACTGCAAATCAAGGAGTACTGATCACCAAAGGACAGATCTACACTACAGAAGGTTTGCCAATACAGCTGTACCAGCAAACCTGCCTACTGAATATGCGGCTTCTACTAACAAAAAAGGGCTATTTCCGGTATATCTTATGTCAGTTCCCCAACCAAAATCAGCCATACCAGCAAAAATACTCTTATGTTGGTATAATTGTGTCTACACTAGGGTTTTTGGAGTATAATAATATTGTGAAGTAAAAAGGCAATGTAGATTGGACCTCCCTGGTCCGGCACCCTCAGGACCTGAGCAGAGCCGAACCAGGGAATCTGCCTTACCAGGGGAGGCCAAGGCTCCTCTCCCAGCTGTCTGCCCTGCTCCTGGGGCCAGTTCCAGCTACTCGGGTCCATTGCTGGAGCCGCCTGAGGCTGCGGTCCCCCTGTGTCGGTCCTGCTGCCTCCAGTTCAGCCAGGGCTGCAACCCTGGCTGACTGGGGCTCTCTGCTCCAGCGATAGTTTTGATCCAGCAGGACCAGAGAGTTCCAGATTTCAGAGGTTCAACATGTACAAGGTGGGCCTGGAGAACCTAATCAGCTTCCCAATAGCACACACTTGTCCCTGTGTTGTTCATATTCTGTACCTTCACCTAAAATAACCTCAGTGCTATTTGGCAAAGTCGGTCCTCTGCGACTACCTGTCATGAAACATTTCAGTGATTCTAAAATGTGGGTAACACACAAGTTCTCAGGCATTATTTGCTGCTGACAATCTGAATAAAGACATTAGGATGTGGTCTGTGACCGCATGCACACAGTTCCCATTTGCCTGACTTTGAATGGCATGCATTCAACTGGAAATACCCAGTGGGCAAACACCCTTCCCACCTCTCCCGACTTGAAAGCCCTGGCATCTGATTCTGTAGGGCTTAAACGGAACTTTGGACCAGGTAAAAATTGCAGGGTGGGGCTCTCATACATTCGGTGCAAAGGTGCTTTTACATAACTGCGTGAAAGTTGGTCCAAACAAGGGCTGATTATGGGACTACTGTGTGAGTGTATGTCACTGCTTACGCTGATCTGTGCTGTAAAAGGTGGTATTGAGCCCTGTGTAAGCTAGGTGTTGATTGGCTCTGAGCCCTCGTTCATATTAGAATTTGATACCATTTATCTAACTAGGTGATATTAAGCAAACCATGTAGCAGATTAAAGACTCTGGTACAATCCCTTCCAGAAAACACAACTAATCTAGTTGAGGTTAGAGATGTAAAAATCCCGTTTAATCGGTTAACTGGTTAACCATTCAGTTAGCCGAACATTAAACTGGTTAACCAAATAAGTGGGATCCCAGATGGGGGACTGCTCCAGTCCTCCTGGAACAGCTCTTGGCCACCCTCGGGTTACCCGTTCACATCCTAGCTGAGGCTGTTAATTCTCCTGCGACAAATAAAGCAGGGGGCATTCCCTGCCTTAGTCCTTTCAGAGCGAAGCCAAGTAACTTCTGGCTCAGATTTTCAATCCCATGGAGGTCAGATCCTGGCAGGCCCCTCTTTCTTGCCATGAGTATCTATATTTATGCTGCAGTTTGGTTACGTGTCGCTGGCCGATGCGCTGAAGGTTATTTTCGTCTCTGCTCAGTTTTGCTGAATACCAGGTGCATGTCAATTAGGAGTGCCAGGAAATAGCAGGCAGTTGCTATTTATAGGCTGGAGCATTGTTTGTCCTACTGTGTTTAGAAGCTGCAGGTAATCCTTGCCGTCGTGTTGTAGGAGGTTGCTCGGGGAGTAGAGTTAAGCCTGGAGATACCTCTGCGGTCCTCATATTAAATTCTGATGCATGACATTGCCGTATGAAAAGGGCTGTGTAATACAGAGCATCCTCCAGCAAGGGGGTGTGCCACCCTTCCGGGCTCTATGGTCAAGTCCCCTCTTGTTGGAATCTAGGGGTGTGTCTAGACTACTGAGTTTTGTCGACAAAAGTGGACTTTTGTCGACAAAACTATACCAGCATCTACACTACCGCTGAGTTCTGTCGACATAACGTCGACAGAACTCAGCAGTTTTGTCGACGCTGGTAAACCTCATTTTACGAGGCATAACGCGTTCTGTCGACAGAAGGTGTTATTGCCTGTAGGGTTGCGTCTAGACTACAGGGTTCTGTCGACAAAGCAGCTTGCTTTGTCGACAGAACTCAATGTGTCTGGACGCTCTTTGTCGACAGAAGTTTTGTCGACAGATACTGTCGACAAAACTTCTGTCGACAAAACCCGGTAGTCTAGACGTACCCTAAGAGTGATTAATCACTGATCTCCACTAGGACATCAGCCTGGGAAAATTTGTAGGTACCAGATAGAGCACCCGAGCTGAATTCAACACCCTCCATGTCAAACGAGTCAGGGGGTACTACTGAGGAGCAAGCGAAAGTGGTGGAGTGACGCCAGAGTTAGAAGGTGCACAAGTGCAAACTCCGGCTTGTCCTAGCTTAAGGACTAGCACTGGAGCAACTATGCCAAGTGCTGACCTGGGGCTAGTCCCAAGATTGTCCCCAGCTCTGCCACTGCATGCACAGAGCACGACAGTCAGGGAACTTTATATACAGTGCTTTGTTCTAACTATGTGCCAGGACCAAAAAAAAAAAACCCCAAAGCTTTTAGCTGCTTCTTGTAGGAATTTCACCCCTCATTTATGGGGGCTGCCTGAAATACAGCTTTCAACTTCTTTCCCGTCGCTGTGAATGGATGATCAAATCTGTTACCCAGCTTCTTTTGCCTTTATTTTTATGCACCCTTCATTAGTCTGTGCTGAATTCATTTCATTTATGTCGGTCGTGACCCTTTGCTGTGCTCAGCTCCTGCCAGAATTTTGAGTTGACAAAGCATTAAAAAAATGCAAAGCCCATATTTCTATTTAATCTCCGATACCAAACTGAACAATACATATACACACACAGTTCAGAAATGTGGTGGTAGAGATGGATCGTTTATGAACTGATGGACTGGGTTTTCCTAACAGCTTGGCTCGGTATTTTTTAGTTCTCTCTGCTATTCGATGGTCCTTTTTAACTTATTTTCTTGAAATTCCTCTTACCAGCTTATACCAAGAACCATGTGGACATTGCAACCCAGGGCTGGTTTATTGGGCTGATGTGTGCCATTGCGCTTCTAGTCCTGATTTTGTTGATAGTGTGCTTCATTAAGAGAAGCAGAGGCGGGAAATACCCAGGTAAGAGCAATATCCAGCAGCATTTTAAATTCATGCTATTGAGTTTAAAGAAACCCCTGCGCGCCCGAGAGCTAAGTCAGTTGTACTGATCTCAGCTACACTTTTGAGTCAAAGGGGTTTTATTCTTCCCTGTTATGAAAATTAGAGGTAACAGAAAGAATGTGTTAGTGAAAGGTAAAGGAGAGCACTCCCTGCTATGCAGGAGAAATGCTGCATAGTCCATCACCCTTGTTAAGAGGGTCTGGACACCTGCTTATCAAAGAGGCTTCTCTCTCTCTCTCTCTCTGCAAAAGGATCTCTTCCTGCAAACATCTCACTGAAATCGTCCCAAGATAGAGACTGGGCTTAGGAGAATTCACCCACTGAGGCATCCTCTCTATCAAGGGTGGGCAAAAGGTAGGGTTGCCAGATGGTTTCAGAAAAAATACCAAAAAAAGGACCCCAAGAGTTGTTAAGCAAAAAAAAAAAAAGTGGGGCCCAGCATAGTGAGGCTTTCTGGCCCTTAACAGGTTGCCTCCAGCCCCCCGCCATCTTGCCTCCCTGCGGAACCCGGTAAGCACGAGGGTTGCCAGGCTGCCTCCGTATTGAGCCGGACAGCCCGGTACCCTCGCCTCCTGGACAGGAAAAAATCAGAAAGTATCAGATATATTAGGTGTCCTGTATTTCCTGAATTTTTTTACCGAACAGGAGGCGAAAATACCTGACTGTCCAGGTCAATTCCGGGCACCTGGCAACCCTAGCAAAAGGGCCTCAGCGGGCTGTATCCAGCCCACCAAGAGGGTTGATCTGGCCCATGGAGGCCCTGCCACTTCCCTGCCCCCAGGCCAATTAGGGTCTGGAGGTGGAGGGGGGGAAGGGCACAGTTTCGTCTGCCCTGTCCCTGCCCTGCAAGGAGCACATGGTGCTTAGAAGCACCGCACACTCCTGGTAGGGCGGGAAGCGACTTCGCATGCTCTTCCGCCCCCAAATCCTGATTGGTCTGGGGGTGGGGAAGCCCAGAAGCATCATGGCCTGCCCCTTCCGTTTGAGGCCCCACCCCTTCCAGTGCAGCCTGGAACCACTTCAAAAAATTTTGAAGTGGCCCCTGGCAAAAAATTATTGCCCACCCCTGCTCTATATCAATTTGAGTACCTACACCTTGGTATCCAAGCACTGTGCAAACACTCAGTACCTGACCCTATAAACTCCTCCTGTGTCAGATTCCTACCCCACAGCCCTGTCACCAGAAAGAGTGCAGGATTGGGCCCTAAGTAAGATACAGGGGCAGACATCTGGCAGTGACTTCAGTGAAACAGACAGACACAAGGACGAATTGCAGAATTAACAATGCCCTGTGCTCGGATCATTCCTTGCAGGAAAGAGAATAATTCTCACCCCTGGGACTACGGTAATGCACAATGAACTGCTCAGATGAAAGGCTACATACACCAAGTACCATCACCAGCATTTGCCCACAGCTGTATTATCAAACCGTTACTTCCCCTCTTCTCAGAACGGGATTTATCTGTTTACTGTGTGGCAACAGCTGGCAAATGTTGACTCTTTAAATTGCTTCATTGTACAACACTGGTGCCTCATTAGAAAGAATTAAAACCACAAGCATCATAATAGTATCTCATGCACCACTTTAAACTCATGCTTACGGCTCGATAAAGAAATGGATACAATTGGCACCCTTAAAATCCTGACGTGTCCCACTCCCAATAACATCCTTCAGAGCATTTGTAACATGCCTCGCTCTGGCTCTAACTTCCTTTGCGTTACTCGACCTTTACGTCAGTGAAATCGAGAGAGTCATGCCGGAGAAGCGGAGGTGAATCCAGCGCCCTTAATGCAGGAAATAATTGCAGATACCCGTGGCAAGGTAGATACCGCAATGCAAGATTTTAACTATACCCACTGTGGACACTGTTGAACCTAGGGGTCCTTGTCTGGCTGGGATTGTGTGATGCTTCTCTCCTGTGTGAAGTCACCAACCCCTACCGAGTTACTCTCTGATTCCTAAATGAACCTATCCTTGCAGAATGGCAGCTCATTGGGAGATTAAACACATGAAATGATTTGTAATGACTGTCCCAGCACAGTTGCCAAGGGCTCTTGGTCCGATGTGAAATGTCTCAATCGCTTTCCATGTCAGTAACTGTCCTTACTGTGTATTCTCCTCCTCCACATTTCTTAGCAAAAAAAAAAAAAAAGCTGAACAACCCCCTCCCGCCCCCAAGGAGGTTTTTGAAACCGCACAGTGAGGATTTTAAAATCTCCCCTATTTAACTTCCCTTTTGCTTGGCGATTTGCTTGTTTATCACAGTGCGTGAAAAAGTTGAAGTCCTGGATCCCGAAGACCACAAAGCAGATGATCCGTCATTTGACTACAGGTATGTCTCTACCTGGCATGTGTTCAATAAGCCACCCCCACCTGCCTCACGTCTCAGCCCCTTTAACTCCCCCCCACATAACTTTCACCAACGTACCACGCTCATGAATTACTTTTCACCTTCCTTTTCCTCCTCCTCCTGTCTCCCACTGAGCAAGATCACTACAAAGAGAGGCATCCCTGCCTAAATATCTGGACAAGCAACCTAACTCGAATGTTCTAATCATGGATGTAAAATCGCAGTTAAACAGTTAACCACGATCCTGTGGGCGAGGTTGGGCCTGCAGCCTGATATGGTTGGTCCGGCTGGGCTGGAGCACCTCCTGCCCAGGGCACATAGGTGGGGATGCCGTTGCAACGTGGCCAGGTCCTGTCTGGCCCCACACAGGGCTGCGACTGCTGGCATGGATGGAGTTGCCAATGCAGTGTAGCCAGGCGGGGGTCCTACCTGCCCCCACCTGCCGGGCGACGGGGCTGGAGTTGCTGCAACATGTGGCAGGACTGGGCCAGGGTCTGTGCAACCCCTCCTGCTTCCCTGCCCAGGTTTCCATCACCCGGCCCGGTTCACCAGATACTGATCCAGTAAGCGTAATGCTTACCGGGTAACCTTTTCCATCCCTAGTGCTCGTAAGGGCTTCCTCCATTCCCCTCTCTCTGCCTTCCCAAGCCAGAGATTGCTCTGAGAACCACCACTCGGGACAAGAGCATTCCCCATGGGAGGAAACACTTCAAACACACAGACACAGATTCTGATACCAGGTCTTCCCCAACACACTCCATTGAAACGTGCCTTTCTCTGCCTAGCAGACCCTGCTCCAGCAGTGATCTACCCCACATTCTCTCTGCCCTTCTCAAACTCAATGGCATCCTTTGGAGAACAACAGCCTCTTCTCCATCCAGCTGCAATAACACCTGCACAAGAGGCTATGTGACTTTCTGTGGCTGTTTGCATGTGGCATCAGCTTTGTGGCTCCACATTTCCCCCCACGCAAGGGGGGGGGGGGGGGGG